GTCTGATAGCAAAAATAATATACTGTGTGTTTGGGCCCTTAGCTTACTTTATTGGAAACCTCTCAAATCAGTAGACCAGAGGAATCTTTAAAAAAAAATTCCAGAATATATTAAAATGAACAAGAGTAAACCAGAAACAAGCACTGGTGCCAACACATTGTGTGTTCTGTTTACCTCTTAAGTGGAATAAGGTTGGGAAATTACATCTAACCAAATTTGACTGTTTCCCACTTCCAGTTTCATCAACAATGCAATCTGCTCTTTTAACCCGGCTAAATAGTATTAGTAAAAGAGGCTAATAACATTGTACTTTTCTACCTTGTTTTTTGTTTTCAAAGTATGGCTACATGTTTACAATAGGGCTGGGTAATGTGAAAGGTATGTGAAAGACTGATGAACTGCAGGAAGCACTAAGGTGTACATTAAAGGCACCAATATTGGATATGGGAGGAGGTTGAAGAGTTGACTGAGTAAAAGCGGAATGCCAAATGGGGTTATAGAATGCAAAACAGAGTTTACATTGTCATAGATGAATAATGATAGTTCAGTGGGTGAAATGGACATACAGAGAAGTACAAACCCCATCGACACCTCCTTTCTCTGCAAATCTCACAATTCTAAACATCCACCATAAAACGGGCAAATTCAAACATAGCACCGAATTGATGTAAATTCGGGTATGTTGCCTTATTTGGTTCTGGCCTGTACTTTTGTCATGCCACGAAATTGACATACAGACCAGCCCACTGGTTCACGGCCCAAGAACATGAATAGAGGCAGATGTAAGGCACCAGTTTAGCCTACAGTTGGGTTTACTTCTACAAGAATTACAAAGCAGGCAGTTTCTCTATTGTAAATTAGCAAGAACCACGGGCATAAATGCAGCGTTCCAGGCTGCATGGAGGAAGTGGAAACCGGGTCAGGTTCGGTCGCTCTGTGCCCCGCCGGCTCCCTGTTTGGACTACGTGCTGCACTATAGCTGACCAAAATCCCAGACGATTTTGATATTCCCCCGGACATTTTTTTAGGTATGAAAAGTAGAACATGTCCAGGAAAAAAGAGGACGTCTGGTCACCCTACCATATGAACAATTTGATGTTTCAGTGAGTGAGTGCTTGTTGCTATGATGCGTCTTTGCTCAGCAGCTTTGCTCATTGTAAACCAACCAATCAATGCACAGCTCATCTAAATAGTCATGAGCATACCATAAAAGGAAGAAAACCTGTCGTTTGATTCTAGGACTTTTAACCAGGCTTGCATTTGGGCTCATAGAACAGCAAATATGCCATTTTCAGCCCAACAAATGTTACACACCCTATTCAGAGACTTTAAGGACCAGCACCAAATACCCTATAAAATCATTCTATGACCCCTTTTAAGTACCCTTTAAAGTATTGATCTAAATATAACTGACACATTAAAAATATTTGAAATACTTTCAAGTAGGGCTTGAAAGTTCAGTTCAGATAAATATGAGTTTTTCTAGAAGATGTTTCGCCTTTCCTCCAAGAGGTTTCTTCGGTATTAACTAGTGGTGGGGAGCAATGAGATTGATATATTGTAGGTCTAACAAAGAAGTAGTGGAAACAAAAGGTGGATCTGATCCCTCCTACTACTACTGTCTTCTGGAAAACTTCACGTCCATTTACCTAAACTGAACTTTTCAAGCTTGACCATGACCTGAATGACAGAATCTTCAAAGTATGTATTAAAGTATATGTATTATACCAACCCATTGAAGTGGTTGGTTGTTAATGTTAAACTAAGATTGGATAAGCCTAGACTTCTGGATTTGATGACTCAAGAGGTAGAAGTTTGTCCTGTAACGTGGTGGGATGTTGGTTCAAGAAACCTATTGGGACATCTTAGTCGTACCATTTGGGCAGAACACTTCAGCTGCCTTGCTTGCTTTTGATGTTTAAGGGGCCTGATGCCACCAATTATATGGCTGCCCCATTTCTATCAGTCTTCCCCGGGGTGGCTGTTGCTAAAATCATCAGGGTGAGATCATTCAGGTTAACATAGTATGCCCTGAATTGTTTGGAAGAATGCATTGTTAATTTCAGAGGTCAGAGGATAAAAGGCAGAGGGATTTGAAATGATACACAGGCAACAGTTACTCACTTAACCACTTATCATAGCCAAGTTATTTGGAGTACCACACACATCAAATCCTAAAAGGTGGTCAGCAGTGAAAAGGACTAGCATCTCAGATAGCTTCCTGTAAATAATAGCTGGAATTGGAACAGACTTACCAAAACTGAACAACAAAGGATTCCACATAACATGTCTGGTCCGTTGAGTCTTAAATTCCAGCTGCAAGATTTTAATAGTAATGTAAGAATTAGATGTAAATAGCATTAATGTCTGGATCTACCCTGTTTTTTGTGAAGGGTTCACACTGGTCATAGTGATGTAATGTGTTGTGAGATAATTTTTGGCTTCCTAATAGCAACTGCTATCCATTGCAATACAACTGCCACCCTTAGTTTGGTTCTGATCAGTTCACCGCTTTATGACTACAGTGTATCGAACCTCCATGGCTACTTTAAGTCACAAATCTCAAATAATCTCTAACTAATATCTTGAACAAGACAGTAAAGTCACCATAGATAATTGAGATTTGGTGGAACAGGTGATTTTGATCATGGATGTCTTATCAATCAGTTTTAACCACAGCATGCTATTGTTTCAATATAGAACATAATCTTAAAGAAATGTTCCATCCCTTTACGTCTATTATACAAAGTATTAAGGTTGCTCTGGCAATGGTATTACTATTAAGAAGTACATAATAATAAGGGGTTGTTAAAGTCAAGTACAGTTTATACACTGCTGAAAAAAATAAAGGGAACACTCAAATAAAACATCCCAGATCTGAATGAATGAAATATTCCTGTTGAGTACTTTATTTTAAAAGTTCAATGTGCTGACAACAAAGTCACTCACAAGGTATCAATGGAAATTAAACTTATTAACTAATGGAGGCCTGGATTTGGAGTCACACAGAACTAAAGTGGAAAAACAAACTACAAGCTGATCCAAGTGTGATGTAATGTCCCTAAAACAGGTAAAAATGAGACTCGGTCATGTATGTGGCATCCACACGCCTGTAGGACCTCCCTACAAAATCTGGGCATGCTCCTGATTAGGTGGCGGATGGTCACATGAGGGATCGCCTCTCAGACCTGGAATAAAACATCCACCAACTCCTGGACAGTCTGTGGTGCAATGTGACATTGATGGATGGATCAAGACATGATGTGCAAGATGTGCTCAGTCGGATTCAGGTCTGGGGAACAGGCGAGCAAGTCCATAGCTTCAATGGTTTCATCTTGCAGGAACTACTGACACAGTCCAGCCACGTGAGGTCTAGCATTGTCCTGTGATTGAACGAACCCAGGGCCAACTGCACCAGCATATGGGGTGTGTTCGATTTTAAAGGCTGCACCCTCCTCGGTCTCTCTGGACTGGATCCTTCGAGGTCTGTGAAAATAAGGAGACCGGAAGAGCTTTGGCTGTGGATTCAAAAAGGTCCAGCCTTCTGCAGCTTTCCAGACTCTTTTGCGTCTGTCACATGTGCTCAGTGTGAACCTGCTTTAATCTTTGAAGAGCACATGGTGCAAGTGCAGAAGTTGCGTGTTCTCTGCAAAATGACAAGTGTCCTACACTGTTTTGGGCTGTGAGCACAGACCCATGTGTGGATGTCGAGCCCTCATACCATTCTCATGGAGTCGGCTCATTTGTGGCCTGCTTTAGGTCATTTCGCAGGGCTCCTCCTGTTCCTCCTTGCACAAAAATGGAGTACTGGTCCTGCTGCTGGGTTGTTGCCCTTCTATGGCCTCCTCCATGTATCATGGTGTACTGGCCTGTCTCCTAGTAGCCCCTCCAGCCTACAGACACTTTGCTGACGAACACAGCAAACCTTCTTGCCACATCTCACATTGATGCTCCATTCTGGACGAGCTGCACTACCTAAGCCACTTATGTGGGTTGTAGAGTCTGTCTCATGTTACCATGAGTGTGAAAGCACCACCAACATTCAAAAGTGACCGAAAAATCAGCCAGAAAGCATAGGTACTGAGAAGTGGTCTGTAATGCTCACCTACAGAGTCACTCCTTTATTGAGGGTGTTTTGTTAATTTCCAGCTGTTGTCTATACATTTTTTACAACAGCAAGCAAAGTTTTTTGTCAATCAGTGTTGCTTCCTTAGTGGACAGTTTGATTTCCCAAAGGTTTGATTTGATTAAAGTTATATTTTGTTATTTATGTTTTCCCTTTGGTTTTTTTTAGAGCAGTGAATTATAAGGACTTGTTTCCTTCCATGTCTTGAGTATATGATAATTTATGTCCATGCTGATCCATTATTGAGGGAGGAGCCTTTCATTGAGCATAATCAGGAAGTGTGAAGAGTCATGAAAGACTGTGTCTTTTTCAAATCCCCCCATCAAATTAAAAAACAAAACACACGCTATGATGAAAATCCCTCTCTAGATAAAAGCAAGGTCAAGCAAAAATGGAATTACCCCAAAAAAGCCTTATGTGCTGCAAATCACATGGCCCTGAGAGGTGTTTTCCAACAACTGTCATTGTAGAGCAGGGCTTTTTTTTCTATTGAATGTATTCTCCATTTATTGCCACTAGAGGGGGCAATTTACGGTAAAGATCTGGTTATTAAGGAGTCCTATGGCAACAGATGCAGAAATTGGAAAATACTCTCAAGACTCAGTTATTATTATTAAAAGTATTATTGTCATTTCTATTATTTTTCTGGTTGCTGCTGTCATATTTTTCTGTCTAAAATGACTGATTCTTATCTGATATAAAATGATATATCCATTCCTGGATACACAAAGTGTATGGGGTTTAGGTTGTTTCATTTCCTGACTCTAAGAGAAAGTGTCTATGTGTGTATGTGTTTGGTGAAAGGGGGGGCAGAGGGAGAGAGGAAGAGAGAGATAGACCTGCATATAGGGGGAGGGAGAGGAGGGGGAGGCTCCTGATACCAAGACACGGAAAAAGCAAGGGAGGGATAGAGAGAAAGAAAGAACAAGGGGCTGGTGGAGGAAGAGGAGAGGGGAGTTGGAGAAATCGGGGAATAACACTTAAGAAAAAGCGCACAGAGGAGAGGAGGGACGGCACCCGGCGCATTGGACATCCCCAGCTTCCTTCCCTCGGGCTGTCACAGCAGATTGGACTCCGAAGGACCGACACGGCGGCCACCCCAGACCCCATGGGGTAACAGGTATGTCTGACTTCCTCCCTATAACCACCACTCGAAGCAGGACATCACCAGAGTCTGGAGATTTCCTCCAGGAGCCGTGGATACATATATATATATTTTCCCTTCCTCCTGTTATGTCAACAATTAGTTTCCTGCCTTACGCCGCCACCGCGTCCACAGCTGATAGTTGGCTGCTGCCGCTGCGCACAGGTTGAAGGCATGACACAATACAACTCTTGACTACTGTGGCTATTCTTTATGTTTTTGTTGCGTGTTTCCATTGGCACCGTGTTAATTAAGAGCTGGGGTGAATATCTGTATGCGATGGAGCAGAACGCCTACCTGTTCTATGCGTGACAGCCAGCCGCCTGCTGCGCGTCTCCATATTCTGGACAAGCTGTCATGCTTTCCAATGATCCGCTTACGTCTACTTTGATACAAACGTCTATTAAACTGAATGAAAAATAACATAATTTAAATTAAATGGATGTTTACATGTAAGTTTTATATCAGTGGATCTATTTAATGTGTTAATTGTAGTGGCAGCAGTTTGGTATCTTTAGAAACTTTTGATTTCCACTTTGGCTGAGAAGGAGGGGGGTGCACAAACTTGTCGTGGACACATGATCGTGATTGTGCCACGGAGGGAAAACGACTGATGCACTTTGTTGACGTCTGGGGGGGATTCAGAATGAAAGCGCACTGAGGAGGGGGTTGAACCCTCCCCTCATTTTTCACCGCGATTAACCTCAAAAAGGGGGAATTTCTCATTTTGTTTTGCTGCGTCAACGCCAAAGCCATCAGATAAGACACAGAAATAAAAAGGGGGGAATTTACTTCACAGATATAGCGCCCTCGCGCATTTTTTGATATTACTATAGATTATTTTAAATAAGTGTTAGAGCGGATGATGATCATCTGATCCTAGATTAGATTTAAAAAAGACGCGTCTAATGTTTTCTGAGCGTCTCCTGGTTGTGTCTGTCCTCTTCAACCGGTCAGTTCCGTCTTCCTCCATTTTCTACCATGTGACACCGGGGGAACAAGCCCACTTCTTTGGAAAGCTGCATGTGGACGTCAGAGTGCGCCTGGCTGTCACCTAACAACAGCCAGGTGGATGCTCAGGTTTAGTCTACCTAGGTTACCAGCTTTTTAACGGAGATTAAAGTCACTATAGTTAGGTTGGATGTTATCACTATGTTTTTTTTTTTTTTTTTAAAGGAAATAGTTTGTTTTTTGTTTTTTTTATAAAAGCAGTTACAAACATTTCCTTTTTTTGTTTTGTTTGATTGTTATGTTGAAAATTGGTAGTTAATCAAAAGATATATTTGCTCCTAAAAATACGTTTTCTCACAGACGAATGCTTGGTGGCGTCACAAGAAGGCTACAAAACTGATATGAATTTGTTTACTCTGTTGTTATTATCTTTTATTAAATTCCCTCTGCAAAGAGTATTAATTGTCTTAGAATACAGACATTTGAATGTATGTGAAACTGCATGGAATTCAGGAACATTGGTGGATTATTGGATGGATTAGTGGATATTCAGTTTAGATAGAATACAATATTCATACATTTAGAGTCCAATCTTTCTATCAGTTCAGTTTCTCTATTATCTGTCATTTTGTTTTATTTATTTAAATAATGTCACAATAGTTACCCGTGGAGCACCTAAACAAGGTCGTGAACTTTTTTATTTCTCAGAGCAGTTTTGTTGTCCAAGCTCAACGGGGTGAAAGCTACAGGTGGGCAAGTTGAAATGCTCCGTTCTTGGGTGTTTTAACCCACACAATTCATTACATGGCCCCCTGGTTTCTGGGATGCTAGGCTATCGTATCTCTGCTATCGAACTGCAAAAATGGCGGAACAGCGTGGAGCGTTAAGCTCTGTGACCTGGAAAACAAGCTGCTCTGAGACGCACCTCAGAACAGCTGTAAATGATTGGTCAGTGGAGCAACAATAAATTCATCTAAAGCATTGAAGCTAAAATGTGAAAAGGAAGGGTTTAAAAACAGGAAATGCTTTTTAGATCCATTCCAAGATGATCGCTAGACACGCAACTTGTGCTAAGACCAAACCTACCTGTTATATGGAAGTCAGTGCCATACAAACCTTAGATTCATCAATCACCATCAGTGATTATTGAGTCGAACTTGGGCTTAAACACAGAAGATGGAGCTCTGACGGTTCATCAACTTGGGAATATACAGTAAAATCATCCAAAACTCACTCCTCCACCAATATATCTAATAAGGTCAAGTGCTGAGCTCATGTAATATTTATTTTCTGATGTCATTAAAGGAATTAGCAGGTTTTATATTTAGGCCCAAATTTAGTGACTGGCTTTTGTAGGAAATCCTTACCTTAATACCCAGCTGTGTTCCTATATTCAAAACATCACTGTATCATACAGTAACTTTTAAAACGATGATGATAACCTTTGGTGAATAAGACTTTCTCGTTAACAGCTTCTTTATTTGGTTTATTTTAAGATATTCCTTGTATTTGGTTGGTAAAATTTTTTTTATTTGACTACTACACTGGAACCTGCAAACTTGTTGTGGAAAACCTAATGGGATGTCTTAAGTTACCAAGTACTCTTTCAGCAATTTATTTGTACATGGCCACGTGATAAAAAAAAAAAAAAAAAAAATAAATAAATAAATATATATATATATATATATATATATATATATATATATATATATATATATATATATATATATATATATATATATATATATATATATATATAATCCTAAGATACAGAGATATGAGTAAATTGTGTCAAATGGTTATAGTGGTGTAAAAGCAACAAAACAACTTGGTATCTTAACCCTTAACCTGTAATGTCTTAACTGCACTACAGACAACCAATATTTTACTTTTTTATTTAGTCAGAATAGACAAAACTATCACTGTTAGCACTTTTTTTTAAACACATAGCTCTACCTTTTTGCCTTCAAATTGTTCAACAAACATCAGAAAAACCTGTCATCCACCCTGGTTATCCCATGAATCATATAATGCTGACAAAATACATGTCCTTCATTGATGAGGTGTCTATTCCTTTCTGACTTTTACATTTCTTCTATTTCCAGTTTAGACTAAAGGCAATTTTCTCTGATCGGGCCATTGTCTCTTGTTATATGCTCCTTTTGGCTGTAAGCCTGGTCAAAAAGAAAAAAAAGAAAAATATCCTTCATAGGTGGGGATAGCTGTCTGTTGGAAAATTATAGACCCTGTGTATAGACCAATCAGAAAAGACACAGTGTGATAAATGAAGGAAAAGCTTAAAGTCTTACTCCAGAAGTAGGGGAATTAGAAACCATATTTCTAGTGTCACTATTTTTAAACCCTAACTCTTTCATATATACATTTATTTAAACTGTGGTGAACTGATTTATTCTTGGATTTTTAAGATACTTTGTATATTTGTGCATAAGACCCTGGGAAGTTTCCCCCTCCTTGTTCTGTAAATAGGTTTCCAGTTATTCTGAGGCGTCTGGGTTGTTCCACTGCACTGTTTTTTTTCCTCTTCAGAGATTTAACATGCACTCTTTTGGCAGCCGTAACCAGTGTACGGCTGTAAGATGTAGGCCTTTTCCTTTTGTTGGACAGTTGCTAACTAGATCTCCGGGATTAGGAGACCATCAAGCCATTTTTCCAAATTGTCTTAGCCCTCTGTGGATTTGTCTGGTTGTTTTGTCCTTCCAACTACTGAGTTAAGGGTTGGCACTTGATATGATAAACCCTCCAAAGTCCTTTATTCTGTTATTCAATTACAATCGGCTTTTTTACCCGTGCAGTCCCCTTTGAGGGTGTGTATGTACGTGCGTGTTGTCATAAGCGGGATAAAGCTCAATTATCTGCTTTAAATGCTTAGAATCCAAATAGTATTAGAACAACTAAACTCTCTTGGCACGCTGTCACCAAACATCTTTCAAAGTGCTTTGTTTCTTTCTTTAACCCCCCCCTCCACACACACACACACACACACACACACAGACACACACACTTTGCCATTCCTTAGAGGTATCTCTCCCAGGTGGGGTTGTTTTTTACTGTCCTCTTAGAGGAGAACAGTGGTGTATGTGTGTGCATCTGTGTCTGCACGTCCATCTGTGTGTTCCACGAAGAAGATATGCAGCTCCCACCAAGATAACAGCTTCAAGGATGAGTGGAGGAGGAGTGTGGGCGAGAACGGCCAAAAAAAGGGGAAAAAAATATTAGCTGCACGTGTGTTCATGGTGTTTCAGAGCAAGAAGCGCTCTGCTCTTGCCTTATCCACCACGAAAGGACTTTTGAAGTTGATTTAGTGATATTAGCCACTTTGATCTCTTTTTGTATCGTTGAAGCCAAAGCTGAATGTGTTGTTTGTTGAGAGTGGATGGAAATAGTTACGGTGGACTTTGTCCACACAAACGGTGTGAAGTTTGTGGGAAGCAGCGGTGGTGTGGTGACGTTGAAGGAAAGACGCTTAGTGAAAAGAGACGGAGGGGCTTGGTTTCATCAGTTGACAGGTTTGAAGCTTGACACCTGCCTCTCACTGTGTGAGCTGGGTTTTGTGTAGGTGGTGCTCAGTGATCCCATGCAGGTCGTAAACTGAACTGTGTGGTTGCAGGTTAGTCGGCCTTCAGCCACGCAAACCTGGGGGTTGCAGAGCTGTCACTGCACAGTTAAATTCAGTCACTCCATGAAGTCAAAGCCTCACATCTTTTCAAATCAGAATTTAATGTATTTCACTAGATTTTATTTGATAGACTAAGAAAATTTATTGCATATCTGTGCAGTGAGAAAATGTTATACAGGTTTTTAAACAAATTGAATCTAAGAACTGTATCAAATATATATAAATATCTTTACTAGACACCAAAATGTAGTATGGTTCAAACAATTGATAAATAGAGTTTTACTGTGTTATTTAATTTAACTTTATACATCCGGCCTGTTTTGAAGAAATGAAAAAAAGAAAACCATAGTTGAACAAAAACTATGCGAAACCCAATCAAACTATTGTA